AACTACTCCAAGTTAGCCGTTTGGAATGGATCGAATTTCAACTTATCTTAGATAAAAGGTGAACCGATAATTGTACGCAGAGTGATAGCTAAATCTTCTTAATACATGTGACAAAGCATTAGCATTATTGTACATTTCAAAAAATCCCTGAAATCATAATCAAGGATAAGCAGCCAAATGCACAGAAAAGATAGACTTCCTCGGTGTCAAATTCGACCTGCCTTCCCGCATTTATTATCATCTAAAGCGGGGTGTGCGATAGACTTATCTCCACGTGGTGCACCCTGGGCAACGTAAAATCATACGGCAAAGAAGTCTATTAACTGGCAGTTGACTTCTGGCTTTAAACTACCATCACTTCACTGTATTTCAGATTCGAGTACTTCCACAGTGCTCACCTCACCTTTTCTATACCTTTGTGTCTGTCTCTTTTACACCTGTGAATCACGCATCTGTTCCTTCTCTCGAATTTTTCTCACTTTAATGTTCCTCCCCTCTGTGGAGCCCGAAGTCAACCAAAGGGCTAATGATAATGATCAAAACGCCTGCCATTTGAAATTAATAAATCATCATCTAATGCTTCACATGTAAAAGTTCCTCAGCCGATCAGTCAATACTGATAAAATAGTAATCAATGTTTTATCTGTCTTAGTTAAATTAAAGCTACAAACCGCAGAGTATCTCAGTAACGATCATTTACTTTCTCAAACATTGCAAGAAACACCGATTGAAGCGACAAACGCAAATGGAAATACAGAAATAAATTTTATTTTAAAATTCATACCACTGAAAATAGATAAGTAGAAATTAATTTTAATTGTTTTTAAAAGATCTATACAGGAGAAATTGGGCATTACAATTATGACCCAGGGTAACTGCCCTCCATTCTCTTCAACTCCATATTTTCCCATGTATAGGAATAACCCCGATCCACCACTTCCTCTTTGACATTTAGTGTTTGCATTGAGTCCATCGGTACTTCCTCATAGGCTCTATAGGGATCGTTTTCATAATCATTACATAGCGCTGCATTTGAAATGCTTCCAGGTTCTGGATGGGAATATGCTACTGGTGGACCTGAAAGATAGCTACCGTTAAGAGCCGAGTAGGTTTCTCCAGGAGGATAAATTGAAGATCCGCATTCAGGTAGATAGGTATTGTTATTGTTGCAGTAATACCAGCTGTGTTCAGATTTGGTCGGTTGAGAAACTGGAGGTGGCTGAGGGCTAGCTGACTGATGATCCTCTGTGCCATGGGCGCGCATGTGTTTACGGAGGGAACTGGGATGGGAATAGGTCTTGTTGCACCCCTGATATCTGCAGCAATATGGTTTTTCATTCCAGTGAGCGTGCATGTGTTTCTTGCGATCTGAACTATTGGCAAAGCGACGATAGCAACCGGCAAACTCGCAAAGAAACGGCTTTTCACCTTCAGAGAGAAAGCAAAATAAATGAAGAACATTCACCAACATTCGACTGTATAAAAACAACCAAGTTCACTTAGGAAAATCTTTTCAAACACTCATGCCTGATAGAAAATTAGTATCACAAGAGCTTCCTGGCAAGAAGCTCGGGCTCTGAATCCCCTTCATAGGTCAGATCTAAGCAGTGCACGCAGTCAGTTCGATCGCTGGATGCACATCAAAAAGCAACAAAGTCGTGATCTCGGGCTTTTCAGATGAGAATGTTAACCGTTAAGATATCGACACCCTATTTCGGCTATTGCAAGTTTAACCTCTTTATGCGTTTAGTGTACATGTCAAGAGTCACGTGAACACTGCTTATTCATGCACTTCCATTGGTGTAGACAACCAATCATCGAGCTTGACTCGGATCAAAAATAGGGACTGGAGAATGTGGTTTCCTGTTTTTTAACAATTTAATTCGACTTTATTAGCATGAACTTCGCTATCACTAGAGAGGAATGAATGGAAGTGGGTGAGTGTTGGAAACAATTCATAAATTAATATTTTACTCCAAGGAAATCACGTTTACGTTTAAAGATCTACCTTGAAAGTAGTTAAATGAATATCGTCCACAAACTGACTTGAGTTACCCTCACTCTGGACATCCACCTTACAGTGTGTCTTCACTCAGAGCTCATGACAGTTTGCAAGGGAGTTATACCAGTGGCAGATTATTTTTAAAATGAAAGGACTGTTAGGATGCCCAATTTGACAACAAGAAGACTAAAAAGGTGGTTAGTAGTAAAACAAAAGGGATCGAGGGGTGAGTCGCAGTCTGAGTAAAATCGATAATTAAATCACAAACAACTTTAACGAGGAGTGAAAACACTTAGAACTAAGAATTTTTGTCATTTTAGTTTGAAATATGGGGTGTGCGATAGACTTATCTCCATGAGGTGCACCCTGGGTAATGTATACTTATACGGCATAAAAATCTATTAACCGGTAGTTGACTTCTGACTTCAAACTACCATGACCCGTCTGTATGTCATATTCCACCACTTCCACAATACTTAACTTTTCTCTGCCTTTGTGTCCCTCTGTCTCTACATCTGTGAATCTCTCTTCTTTTCCCCATCTCGAAGTTTTTCTCACTTTGATACTTTTATCTTTTGTGAAGCTAAAGGGCTAATGATATCTATCAAAACGCCTGCCATTTGAAATAAAAAGTTGAAGATATTTGTAAACTTTTAGTCCACCTTTTAAATAATCTCAAACGGGTTCCGATCCACGATTTTTAGTTTAGAAGACATATCTATTTCCTACCGATCAAACGGAGTTAAAACAATAATAATGAAGCAATCATATAATTATATTGTGCTTAGATAATACTGCTGATAAATCTCCATGGTTTTCAATTTGTCATATCATTTGAAACAATTTTTTTATAAATAATGCGTTTACATTGACATTATAATTTATAAATACGGATATGGGATTAAAAAAATACCATTTCAAAAGAGAAAAATCTAAAATTTCGTGCAATTCTTATTGACTGACGCGCACGCACGTACGCACGCACGCACACAGAATTCGGTAAAGCGAATAAAATAACAGAATCCATCGAATCTTCTCAGTTTGAGCTAGCGAAACACGTACTTCTTTTCGCTGTATTTCCCATTCATAAGCCAAATCAATGTTTCGTTGATTGGTCATTAAAATCTAATTAAATTAGCCCCAATTCGATTCCTATTGTTCATACTGATAAATTGAAGTTTAATCTGTTGGTAATTATGTCATAGTTGACTAAGTGAATCAAATTAAGGTTCCACAGTACTTCATGGGAAAGAGTTATTTTGAGTTATTTTCATGTTAGAAGAGAGTCTGCCATTCATGTCAGTTATTGGAATACGCCGAATCCAAGACATTTGGTGNGGGGGGGGGCGAAGCAACCATAGAAACAGAAGCGTGCTGATTGAAGAAGATTGACATGTGAAGTGAGATGTGCATCTGACAGATAGTCTGTCCACTAAAACACCCTCTTACCTGTCCATTTTGAACTTTGGTTTGTTCGGAAGTAGAAATTTAACTAATCGGCTAGCATAACAAATTTCCAGCTTTGACATATACTGGCAGTTGAATTAGGAAGAGAACACGAGTAAGCCATTTGGACACAGGCATTTAGCAAGCATTCAGTTGCTTTGCATTGAGAGGAGAAAGAATTTTGACGCGTATTATTCTTTAACACTAATTCAATACATTTCAACAAAAATTACACACTGAAAGTTAGTATAACAACAAAAATGAATAATTATTTACAAATTTGTTTTTTTTTTTGAAACTAGAAGAGAACAAGATAATAATGGTCATTGCCTAAATTGTCATTTACTACGGTATTAAGAAACGGTTTCGAATTATTCTTAAAATTTGGAGCAGAAACCTGAGATCTTGTACAATTAATATCATAAAATCAGGTCTTCTCATTCTGATGGTATTTTGGTAATCCGAACTTAGGAATATTTCTGAAGTAGTTGACCAACCACCAACATCTGCCCACTGGACTTTGGAGATGAGAACCAAGGAAACAAACAATCAAACAGGAATCCTAGCATGTGAATCTAAAAATCGATTTGGATCTGAAATTAGTCGCCATCATACCCAGTTATTCAAAACTACCCATATTAAACAAATTTGAATTAAATTTCGTTGATTAACCGTTTTCAATGAACGCATTGCTTGTCACATTCGAGTTCACAGAGTTTGAGGAAGTTTGAAATAGTCCAATTAAAGTCAAAGATGGAAGAATTTATTGAATACACCATTATTTTAAACCAAAACCATGAAGATATGAAAAAATATTTTAAATAGCTCATGTTTTTACTTAAATGGTAAGTTTTGTTTTTAACAAAAGAGAGTTCTTTCTTCTCTGATCAAAAAAGGAAAAATAATACACTATTTTTATTTATTCGCTTTAATTTAATGGAAAAAAAAGCTAAATTTGTCACTAATATATAGAATACTGTTAATAATGCCAATAAAGTATTCGATATTTTGAGTAATTAAAAGAGCTATTGTTAGATTGCTCTTAACTACCCTAATTAAAGTTAAAACAATCTAAATAAGCGTTTTTTTAAACGGTGTATTTTTTAAGTAATTTAGATCATTTTCCGTTAAAGAAATCTTAGCGATTCGAAGAGTAAAATGGCAAGTGGCCAAAGAAAAACAAACAGGCAAAAACACGCTCCTATTTCTTTCAGACAGTTCAACAGGCGCATATGGGAGAGGTGGAAGGGGGGTGGAGGAGGGGGAGACGATCTATCACCTACATAACAACCCTGTCTCTGCCACCCTTCCTTCAACTTTCTCTTTCCCGACACCTCTGTATCTACTTGTGTGGTTTCTGTGTTCCTAAGTGCCTGTAATTTTGATTGACGTGGATTCAGAATGGACAACTGTAAATAATTGATGATGGAATTATTTTTGAGTAGATCATTAGCTTTACGCTTTTAGATATTCCTACGATTGTCGGCACTGACTGACTTTACTTGAAAATTTTCACTCAGCACTTTCGATAGACAAACTTGGGTTACTATTTTATCATATTATATGAACTCATATTAGGGATGTGCAATAGACTTACCTCCACGAGATGCGCCCTGGGCAACGTATACTCATACGACAAAGAAGTCCATTAACGGACAGTTGATTTCTCACTTCAAACTACCATCACCCCACTGTATGTCATATTCCACCACTTCCACAGTACTCATCTTAAATTTTCTCTACCTTTGTGTCTGTCTCTTTTACATCAGTGAATCACTCTTCTGTTCCCCCTCTTGACTTTTTCTCATTTTGGTGTTCCTCCCCTGCCATTTAAAATAAATAATTGAACTCATATGAATAAAATAGAACTGAACTTTCAAATGCGTAATTAAAACAAGTGTTAACGTGTAGCCGTTTAAATATATCTAAGTAATCTTGGTAATTTCAAATAGCAAATTCAATAGGATCTAGAGCGCAAAAACTGGCCTCATCACTACTGAATCGGATGTTAGAAATCAGCCTCTTTAAAATTAATTTTCCTCTGTTCAAGATAGTCTCGATTCTTAGTGGATTACTTTTCTAACCTTATTTTAGATACGAGCTATTGTAGGACATTTTAATTAAATTAGTATAATTAAAAGAATAGAAGTGTTAGTCCGTCTTAAGATTCCAGTTATTCTTTTTAATGATTAGTCAAAAAGTAAAACACACACACACAGAACTGTAGAATTTATCGAGCTTGGGCCAAATTAATTTTAAAAATTCAGAAAACGTTAAGTAAAGCCCTTCCATTTCAGAGGAGATCAATTGAAATCGTTATTCTTGGAGGTCCCTTCTTTCCTAGCGCTCATTTTAGAGAAGATAACAAGATGGTTTCCAACTCTTGCACTAGAAATCTCCACTTTGGGGCAAATATTATTTAGAGTTGGGCTGTGAGATAGACTTACCTCCACGTGGTGCACCCTGGGCAACGTATACTCATACGGCAAAAAGGTCTATTAATCGGCAGTTGACTTCAAACTACTAAGACCACACTGCATTTCATATTCGACTAATTTCACAGTACTCACCTCACCTTTTTCTACCTTTGTGTCTTTCTGTCTCTTTTACATCTGTGAATCATTATTCTGTTCCCCCTCCCTCTCGACTTTTTCCCTTTCTGCGAAGCCCGAAGTCAACTAATGGGCTGATGATACCTATCATAACGCCTGCCATTTGAAATATATTATTTAGTTTTCAAATCGGTCACTGGATTTTAAAATTGGCCTTCTTACATAAGTCACCGTCCATTGGAGAAAAACTCGTGTACCAAATGAGCATAGGGGGGTGCACTTGTCCCCATTTACCTGAGGTCACTTACACACACATACACGCACGCACTAAGGGTTATTGAATGAATCGGATCTAATTAAAGAATGTGCAGCAGCCAAAGTTAATAACAGACCATCTGGCAGCTAAATATTGGCTAACCGGGGGGGGGGGGGAGGTAAATGGTGTAGAGGGGGTGGAAGGTCAAGAAGTGGATAAGCGCCGACCACTGGACCTATTTTACCCAGAGGGCGGGAAATTTTCGCTTGCCATCTGCTTCAGACAAATGGCAATTTGGGAAATTTGTCCAATTAAATATAAAGCGAGGTGGACTTAAATTTTGACGGTAACACAGCACCAATTAAGTCAAATCGTATCAAACCTGAACGTGTATAAGCAATTTCTAACAAATAGGAAATACAGGTAACTCGTTTACCTCTTTTCATTTTCCGTGCGCATATTATTTATATTATTATTATTTATTTATATTAGTTATATGTGCTTGATATTAAAAGAAATTTAATCGGGAAAATAGCTACGAGTGGGTTACTTGGAGGGAAGTCAGTGAATAACCCATTAATTAATTTGGCAATATTTAATTCGTTTTCTGGTGGAGTTTTCTGTCTTAAATATTGTCGTAATAGACTCACTCGCAAAATGTCCGCTTGCACTAAAAACAGTAAAATGCAAATTGCACTAGACAATGGAAGCATTATTTCTAGTAATCAGATGCAATGCCACATCAACAACACCACTACAGTCTCTTTTTAAAGACCACTTAAAGTTCATCAACCCAAAGTCTTAACTGAGTCAAGTAATTATAATGGGAAATATGCGAATTGCGAACCTTTGCAGATGCGTTGTAGAATCCATTAAGAATTGTGAATTAGAGCCATCTCACTTTAATCCATTTCTCGGGCTTAGCAACCCCCCGTTTATTGTGAATGCATTCAAAAAGGTTTTTTTCTGCTCACCCGTATATTATCCGTTAACCGCCATCAAATAATATGTGAAAGGGGGGGGGGGAACTTAAAATCGAATAGAATCCTCCCGCCCCCCCCCCCCCCTCGTCACTAGTCCTGATCGAATATTTTACGAAACCATTAATGCCCATACAGGTGATAATTCTAATGGTTAAAGTGAACAAACGTAAAAGATTAAGACTTTAATTTAAGTGTAAAATTAATTTTCAAACGCCATTATTTTAACAGGTGAAGATGATTTCCACAATCATGATGATTACTTCGTAGGGTTAATTAAGCCAATGAAATTGAAATTACATCAATTTTAGCTAAGTATTGACTATTGATCTAGAAACGATGTGCCGGGGGGGGGGTAATAACAGTGTTATAAAAATGTAATTAGAAGCAAAATAATTTACTCAAAATATTGAAATACTAACAGGTACATGATAGGCAAATGTGGCAACCCAGGTTAAAACCTTTCGGCGGAATGGCATAACCACACTCCACAAGCCTGGTAAGTAGAGGGTTGTAGAGACTCTAAAAATATGTTTTCTCGAATTGGCTTTGGCAATAAAAGACAAAAGTAGCTAAGGCATTTTTTTCCAACTGAAATTGCAATACCGAGGAAAAAGTAACTCGGAGTAATTGCAAGTGTCACAGTCGGAAATGGCTAAATATTGCTCTCTGTGTGTGAAGTTAGCTAATCTACTTGAATCAAAATTGACAATTTTACTTACCAGTGTGCGTCCTTTTGTGAATTTTCAAATTCTCTGCCCTCGCGAAAACCTTGTAACACCCAGGAAAGGGACAATTGAACGGCTTTTCACCAGTATGAACTCGAATATGATTAACCAGTTTGTACTTAGCCTTGAATGCCTGACCATTACGAGAACAGTTGAACCAGTAGCAAGTATGGCTAGTCTTTTCGTGTCCACCCACGTGATCCAATGCCAAATGATTCACCATTTCATTGATGGAGAGGAAACGCATTCCGCAAATTTTACCCTCTACTTCCATCCATTGACAGACATGAGGATAGGAATTGCTTATCGACTGTGGTTGTGTGGTTATCGGTGTCTGTTGATAGAATTGTGTTTCACGACGAACAATGAGGCCAGTTGAGGTAACGGTCTGTGCAGTGGCGGCGTCATCTGGGAAGTAGGTGTCGAGTGTGGCAGAACCATGATGGGAAGATGATGAATTAGGAGATATCCCACTGAGCTGCTGGTGGTGATAGTACATGCTGTGGCAGAGGTGAGGATCTATGTAGTTAGTAGAGAAAGCCATTTGTTGAGAATAACTGGGGTGGATGGGTGGGATTCGAGATTTGCACTTTAGACCCCCTGTGGTTTTCATTCCCGTCGGGTGTTATTTGTACGCGCACACGCCTATTGGTTCGCACGGTCGTATTGATTGGTTGACCAATTAGAACGCGGGTTATTTCGGGAATGAAAATCCTAAGCAGGTTTCTGATTGGCTACCCTTTTAAAAGTCATTTTGCTTGTACAATTTGTTAAATGATAGATTACTATATTAACTCGTTTAGTTACCTTTGACGAACTTGAATAGTTTTAGTCTTATTTAAAGCTTAAATTAAATAATACTATTTTATCTAAACAGCTGATTTTATTCTAAAACCTTTGCTTATTAGCATGAAGCAATCTAAATAGTTTAAAATTTCTTATTTTTGTTAAACGTTGACAATAACTCGCCTAATCACATTTTTTATGTCTATGTTCCTCTCACGTTACTAATATCTTCAAAATCAAAACGATACTTTCATATTTTAGTCAGCTTATAGTATTTCGCTTGACGCGTAATTGCATTTACTATGGGAAACAGGATAAATAGCCACCAGAATAATTATTTACAATGAGAAATACCTTCAAGAGACCAGACGTGTTTTTTCACATTAATAATATTAAATTATCAATCCCACGGCTTGTTAAGTGAAATTGGTGTAGCAATCATTTGTTTTTTTGAAATCAATAATTCCAAAACACTTATTGTAAAGCATTGTAACTTTGCAATCTAGTGCGAACAGTAGGACAGTAGATGATCCACGGTACAGAAGAAAGTTGACTCTGTTAATGAACTGTATCCTTTCATCACCAGGACAGCACCAGCCATGATGTAGTAGTTAAGAAATAATAACGTCTAAGCCAGTTGCCAAGCCTAACAAATAGACCTCAATAGAAACCACGATCGACAATATTTTGATCATCTACTGTTTAATGTGTTTGGATTTTTCACCAAATACCAAAAGATTAAGGGCTAATTTGGGAAATTCGTGATTGGCTGCGCCAATCCCTCAAACCCCCCCCCCCCCCCCCCCACCCAGAACTAATATATCACCGAATATTGCAGACCACAATGATCACTAGTCACAATTTAGGCTCATCGGAAATTCAAAAATAAATGTTCAAATTCCCTCCCCCCCCACTTTGGATAAATTCCTCGTCGAAGTCGTACTAACAATACACAAAGAACATAAAGCTTTGTCCTGATCGTTTCGTTTGTTTCATCCACTGTGACAATAACTGCATAGGTAAAATTGGGGAAACAAAATTTGGCACGATCCACTTCTTTTCTGAACATCTATAACTTTAAATGAGCAAAAAATAATTAAATTTTCAGAGGGGTTTTGTAATGAAATAAACAGAACTGGATCATTTCACAATTTCATGCGTTTAGGCATTTGCCTATGTTTAAAATGTGTACAAAAGATTTTAGTATTGTCATTGGTAATAGGAGTAAGTTCCCTTTGTAATTGATAACACCGCTTGCCAGAATTCGTCCTGGTGCAAAGAGTTTGGTTATCTATCGAGCCGACTTTGATATATTCCGTTCTGAGTTTGATAGCCTACCCTGTAGTAGAACTTGTTTCCTTTGTCAACCCGAACAAGTGTAGTTGATATAATAATTTAAGGGTAAAAGCTCTTCTTATTCTTTTTAAATTGTTCTCAATAAGTCAAAGCTTACGAACATTTATTTATTTATTCATGCCAAATTGCAAGCATTTGATAGTTATCATTACCTCCTTACCTGACTTCAGACTTCACAGAGAGGAGGAAATACCAAAGTGAAAAAGTCTAGATGAGGGGGGGGGGGTGGAAACAGAAGAGTGTTTCAATGATATAAAAGAGACAGACATAAGGGTAGAAAATGGTGAGATGAGTACTGCGGAAGGGGTCGAATATGACATACAGTGGGATCATGGTAGTTTGAAGTCAGAAGTCAACTTCCGGTTAATAGACTTTGCCGTATGAGTATACGTTGCCTAGATTGCACCACGTGGAGGTAAGTCTATCACACACCCCACGCATACAAGCATAAATTGTATTAAGCCTGCTAATTTGGGGGTCTCAAGATATGAACAAGTCGACCCCAGTGATAGGTTACTGATCATGCATACTAATTGCTCAGCAAAATTAGCAAAAATGTTCTATAAGCTGATCATTCACAACATACAAATCATCAAAATTTCACCTATTGCCAAAGATGAAGGCAATACGATTTTGTTTCACTGGTGGTGAACTTAATTACCCACCAGTCGGTCATTAATCAAATTTAACCTGTTACAAGTTCTTGTCATGGGAAAGGTCTTTTCGGGGTACAAATCATTCGATTTATTTGTCTGAGGCCACTTCGTCTTTAAATTCGATAAACCCGAAAATTTTAAATTATCCACACACCCCCTCCCCCTATTCCAAGAGCTTCAATTACATCCCCCCCCACCCCCCCCCCCAACCCCCCCCNAATTACACCCCCCCCCCCCCCCCCCCCCAACCCCCGCCTCTCCACTCTTTTCGTCCAACGTTTGGCGTGTCCGAGATCGGATAAGTTAGGATGAAGCGGATTATCTGCGTGAGATATGGCATATGTGCATTGGAAAATTAGATTATTTGCCCAATTAGGTCAAGACAAGAACAGATTGTGGGGGGACGAATGTGGGGGTGGGGGTGGGGGAGGGAGGGAAGTGAGGTAGGTCAAGACACGGATCATTATTTGACCTTATTTTTAACAACTTATAATAACAAACATAAAATGAATCTGTTATAAACATAATTTGAGACTTTATTTCAAAATCCATTATTTAATTATCATGACGAAATATGAAGAATAGGAAGGTAATATAAAGAAAGTGCGATTGGATAGAAAAGAACAGAAACCTCTAAACGTTAAAATAATCATAAACTATTGAAGTTTTAGAGTAACTAAGAAGTTGTCATTGTGTATACTCAACTTTTCATCTATTAGGTTGGCAACTAAGTCATTGCCGATTTCAAATAAGAAGGCAAATTCGGAATTTTCGTTTAAAAATATAACTTTATTCAATTAGATATTGGCCGTTCTTGTCGATGACCTTTTTCCATCTTTCTGGCAGAGTCAAAATTCCCCGTTCGTAAAATGTCTGGTCTTTGCTATTAAAAAACTGAATTAGGTGTGATCCGACATCATCCGCGTTGTTAAAAATTTTACCATTTGAAGAGTTTTGCATGGAACGAAACAAATGGTAATCCGAAGGCCCAAGGTCAGGGCTATATGGTGGGTGTGACAAAACATCCCAACCCAGTTCCAATAATTTTTGCCGAGTAACCAAATATGTGTGGGGCCTTGCGTTATCATGATGGAAAACAACACCCTTCCGATTTGATAATGCCGGCCGCTTATCTTCAATTGCATCCTTCAGTTTTTCGAGTTCTTCAACATACACATTTGAATTTATCCTTTGGTTCTGCGGCATGAGTTCAAAATACAAAATTCCTTTGTGATCCCACCAGACTGACAGCATAATCTTTTTTTGGTGAATCTCTGCTTTTGATACTGTTTGAGCTGGTTGATCTTGCTTCACCCATGATCTCTTGCGAGTAACATTGTTATAAACTATCCACTTTTCGTCGCCAGTAACTAGGTTCTTCAGAAATGGATCATTCTCATTCTCATTGCGTTTCAGTAGCGGCGAATCACAGATGCTAATCCGTTGCGTCAAATGAATTTCCTTTAACTGGTGAGGGATCCATAAATCAAGTTTCTTGACATAACCAAGGGTTTTTTCATTTTTTTTCAATGCATGTATGCGACACATTGAGCTTCTCTGCAATATCTCGTGTTGTGCTGTGACGATTTGAATCGATAATGGCCTTGATATGGGTTTCATCCACTTCGACTGGGCGGCCAGATCGTTGTGAATTTGTCAATGAAAAATCACCGGAACGAAATCTTTCAAACCAATTTCGANACTGCCTTTCTTTTAAGGCTTCATCTCCATATACGGCACATAACTTCTTTTGTGCTTGCGATGCGTTCTTGCCTTTTCGGAAGTAATACAATAAAATGTGTCGGAAGTGAACGTCCTGTTCTTTCATTTTTAAATTGGGATAAAAACAAAACTAAAGGACTAAACAAAAAATTTTTTACTAATTAACCTAGAAGCCCATACAGTAAGAAAAAAATATAGGTTAGATGCTCTGGCCACGTTAACAAAACAAAAGAAAGTATAGAGTGAATCTGTCAACAAAAACGGCAATGACTTAGTTGCCAACCCAATATATAGTCTTCACTGCCATGCAAAATTTATTTATATCAGATGGCAGGCGTTTTGTTAGTTATCATTAGCCCTGGAGCTGACTTCGGTGCTTCACAGAGAGGAGAAGGGACATCAAAGTGACAAAAAGTCGAGATGGGAGACAGAATAATGATTCACAGAGGTAAAAGAGATAGACAGACATAAAGGCATAAAACAGGTTAGAGTATTGTGAAAGGGGTCGAATATGACATAAGTCGGGTCATGGTAGTTTGAAGTCAGAAGTCAACTGCCGGTTAATAGACTTATTTGCCGTATAAGTATACGTTACCTAGGTTGCACCATGTGGAGGTAAGTCTATTGCTCACCCCAATCATTAACAGGGATTTCGCCAGCAATTCCGCCAATAGGGCCTAGCCGGCTTGGCTTAGTGACACAAACAGCCAAACCTTGGATGAGAAATTCAGGTCTGCCAAAGTGGAAGCGCATCATTGTAATCCAAGAATGCTGTGAAATACGGATCTTTTCGTTTACCATATGCTCAAGTCATTGGTTTTTAAAGCTTGATTGAGGTGAATAAAACAATCTAACCTTCAAATAAAGCGTGAAACAGTGTATTTCCGTTTAATGTTTAATTTTATGAATGTGGTAAATGCCTGTCTATTCCTTGTCTTATTCCTTTTATCTCTTCGAGAGTCATTGATATTTCTGATGGATTATTAAGTCAATTTAGCTAAAAATAGGCAATTAACGCTAGTATTAAATATTTGATTTGGGTGTAAAAATGCATAGTTTTAAAGCCTACATAGGAAGGATGGCAAAGTGGGTATTTCTCACGAAAAATGGAGACATCTTTGGGGCTTGGATTTGCTATTTGCATTTCCTTATTCAAGGCATCACAAGGCAAGCTGAGAAGTGCATTTCCGTTGGGGAACTGAAAGTTGCAAGACAACTGAAGAAAGGTGCTCTAATTTTCAAGAATGGAAATTGGAATTTTTGTGAGGGTTCATGGTCCCATATTTCAAGATCTAGGTCAAAGTTTTCTGATACAAAAATAAAGCTAACATCGATGTTTCAATAGAGTGTTACACTGATATAAGGTATTACTTTTAACATTAAAATTAGCTTTATTTTTATTTCAATTTTGATTAGTTGAAATAAAGTAAACAAAGGATTCCCAAAGATTTCCTTAAAATCATGATCATTATTAATTTACTCCTTTTTGGTAAAAAGTGTTAACGCACTTCGTGTTCATTTGGGCTGTGTTCAATCCACACAGTTTGGGAATATGGATTATCGATTTGCATTCATATCTCTTCCGATAAATCCAAATTCACCTGGTGAATCTGAAGGTGGGGCCATTACAAGGCCGCAGGTGTCGATACATGGTTCTTGTTCACTTCCATGCTTCCTTTGCCGTTACGCAATATACTTCGGTCAGTCTTTCTGATTTCGAAACAGTACCCCTACGAGTTAACTATGTCATTAATTCATCCACAGGCCTGGGAAAGCGTGTCCTCTTACAATAAGAGCCGTAAAAGAGGATGGACCGAAGACTTGAATTTGAGGAATTCGATTAAACATGGAAAAAGGGAACAATTTTCACCAGCTTGAATTTGTTTAATCCATCCCTTCACTTTTGAATGCGTAACTAAGCGACATCAAAATGCCTAAAGATAAAAAAGATCGATTATTTGAGCAAAATTAATAACAATTTATGTTGTCTAGCTCAATTTATGGTCTATTTCTCAGTGAAATATTATTAACTAAAGATATTTCAAGTCATACAATCAAAAACCAAATAAATGGTATAACAGGCAAGAGGGCCAAACTATGAAACATTCTGTATGTACAGGCGAAACTAAGCAACTAAGTAACAGGCAACCGATGGACTTAACTAGATGATTTACTGCGCATAATAATTTGATTTCGGTAAAATGAAAGTGTAAGATCGAGAGTGCACTTCGAACGAGCAGAACAAGGTAAGCAGAAACTGACGATCACCGGTTTTGTAACAGACATTTTGTTTGTGTTTTAGAGGCAAAACCCGAGATATGAGAAAAAGCGCGTACAAATTGCTGTTCATGGTTAGTCAACTGAAACTATGTGAAAATAAACAAAATAATCTCAGACACTACCCGAAAATTGCACGACATTCTTGGGCAAAACCTAAAGTACCTTTTTTCAACAAATTTGCATTTTCGAAAGTATTTGTTTGAGCTAATGGTTAATGTGGAAAGGAAAGAAGATCTTGTCAGCGAGGAGATTGACAAGAAAAGGTTGAAAAGACGCGGCTCCTGTCGATCAAGCTTCTTCAAAAATACTACGCAGGTTCTCACAAAACGGGAATCGATGAATAATGAAAATTTTGAAGCATTTTTTATTACCTTCTCACAAAAATTATTATCCTAACGAGGATTGCGCAGATATTACTAAATCGATTGATTTCCATTTGAGTCTGTTTAGTGTTTGCCAAATAAATTAAACATATATGATTTAGATGTAGGTTGTTTATACTAGCACCTCAAAGGTGACACGTTCTTTTAATATGTAGTTTACTTTACTTTGCCACATTAGGTAATAAATAATTCGAATAAACGACTTCAGTGCGGTTATTAATTAATAAGAATATTTTAATACGTGCAAATTCACCAATCATATCATATCCTATTTCATGTCACCACAAAATTTAATAATCTTACATAATGATAAAGACCGATTTTAAGCTTTGATTTAGGCATATTTATTTGCTTCCAGCTTTACAAGTATATACAAGCTTACTAATAACTAAACAAGTAAACAACATATCCAGTTTTTAGAATTCTAACTCCAGTTTCTTTGTTCTACAACACGCACTACAGTATACATATTTTAAGCTTTAGCAATTCCAGATCAAAAGGTTACCTCGCGGATATAACCCTATGGTCTCTACTATTTCATGATTAATTTTATTATGAAAATAAAGATGCGAACTTACCTGTCAGTGAAGTTTGCAAGACTATGAAGCTATTAGGCTGATTTAATCTTTTGACAACCATATTTTCAGTATCTATTCAACTTCTCATTTGTTAAATTTCAGTAAATTTTAGGTTTAAAAATGGCTAGAAAGAAATCTTGAACTTTTGGCGGTTACGTTGTCAACGCGGGTTAATATTAGGAACACATATGGCACTGGTTTACAACGAGTAATATCTGTAATTCTAAAATGGCCAAATTAATTTTTACTTTTGAAGTTGCTCATTCACTTGGTCATGCCCAGCAGTTAATTAGCATGACTCTATTAATAGAACATTAGTTGAAAAAAGAAAGAAGAAATTAAAAAAATTAAAAGAGTGAATAGAATATATTAAATAAAACATAAAAGGTTTGAAAAATTTTTAAGAAAAACGATACTAATAATGTAAGTAATTTTGCTCTAAATGATTGAATGTTGTCATGGGAATGTGCGCAAAAAGATTTGTAGGGCATTCCGCTCTAATCGATTGCGTGTGAAAGACCATCAGGTATCTGAACATCTTACTAATTTAGGCTGTAACACTTTCTCTATACTTTGAAACAACTTATTATGTTGTCCTCTTCTTTATACAATCTTCGTATTTTTTTAAAACTTTAATGCTTATTCTATTATGTATGTGGTTATATTTTGAAACTTTTAATTTTGGATTGTTTGTAGACAACGTAAATTGTTGTTTTTTTAATATTTAGGTTGTTTCTTCCACATGTAATGTCGAACCACTCGTCACAGGCCTTTTCGGAACTCGACTCTGTTAGTACGTGCTTGATAATTTACCCTTAAAATTTTGCAGATGATGTGATACAGGTTATTTCTGGCGATGGAAGATTCGATCACAGCCATTCCCACAGCCACAAATGTCGACACCATCACCATAATCATTGCCACAAAAGCGAAAAAGATGAAGTAAAATCTCAGTCTGAAGACATATTGCGACATCTCAAATCTTTCTGGATTGTCGTTCCTTTTATATGCCTTTTTATTATGAAAGAAGCAGTTGTTCATTCCACAGGTTTATATTTTCCCTAATTTAGTAACCCCGTTCAGGTGTTTGGGTTTTGGTCTCTCTTTGTGTCACATCACTCTACCTCAATTCACGGTTAAAAGGCGCGACCCAAGGCGTAAGCGGCCAAATTTTTAATAAAAAATCTTCTAGTTTGAACCTCCAATTTATGCCTTTTTAACATCGATATTTATTTGTGGTACCGTTTGTTTGTTCTTCTATATTCTTCATTTTCGTAGAAATGAAATTCACTTGGGGTAAGTGAAACTCTTTGGTGACCTAAAACAAATATTATATGGCCAACTAGAGTTTAATGTCACCCTTTTTTAGATTGTTTTGTATCCCTAACAAGATACCTAGTGAGGATTGGATTTCTCTTCTATGGGCTGTGATAATTGTGGATTTTAGTCTTAAAATTTTCACAATTTTCCTCAAATCTCTCGTGGTCTTTCTAGCCTCTCATCGACTCTTTCAAATCTCCACACAAGTGAGTCTCGCATGATCAATTCATTTACAAATTATTACAGACAATTTAGTTGTCTTCTATGTCAAAAACCGGAACTTTCCACTTTTCATTTTGAGGGACTTGAGGTTACTAAATAATTTTAGAGGGACGGTTTCCGTCGATTAATTTCAAAGTTTGAGCATTTGCTTCTCGGTATTTCTTCTCTTAACGCATTGTTTTTAGTAAAAAAATCAACCAAATTAGTCAGCATTTGAGGGTTTGGTAGTATTTGCTGTTTATTATAGACATCCAAGACATTTTTCTTCTGCATATTACTACCATGCTTCTAGCACTCATGCATATTTGGTGGTATGGATTCAAATGCCTCAACTTTTACTGACCAGGGGACTGCCCGAGTTTGAAAGGAACCTCAATACTTTTTAAATGTTATAACCTCGTGCAATTTGGCTGATGAGTACATCTCGACAAATATACCTGAATAACAAAACCGGTTTTGCACAATTTGGTTCAATTAGCTGGCCGAGTTTCGAATCCACATATGTGCATTTCACGGATATTTGTACAGATTTGCTACCTCAGGAGATGAAGTGGGCAGAGTTTATGGGTTGAGAGAGAGAGAGCGAGATTTAACCAAGTAACCGATTTTTTGCTCAGCTCAAAGTGTATATTTGTTGACTCACAGTTAATGTCATCATACAAGAAAATTTGTTTGAGCATTACCAAGCTCAAATTACCAACACGCTTATATCCAAAAATGGTTTTCTTGTCGGGTCAAATGGAGGTCAGAGTGGTGGAGCTCAGATGGCTGCATTAATGGTTGCTCTTTTTCTCATCGGAATATTTCCTTACCTCCTCTTCTGTCTCCTTGAAACGTGTTTGGGCGTGTTTGGAGCCAATTAATTAATTAATTAATTTGCTTATTAAGAAGTTCGTGTAGTTTAGGAAAACGACCCCACGCCGTACCTTTGGATGCGCAGCTATTTCATGTGGCATTTACTAAGTAGTCTTTAGAAAAACACTCAATTCACAGGAAGAAAAAGAATTTATTCGTATTAGCTATGGAGTAAAGCTAAGATGACTAAATTGGATCAGAAGTTAGTATTAAGACAAGTTCCATTATTTTTAAAAGTGCTGTTCCAAATAATCTTTTATATGAAGGGACATAAAACCTATAAGGTGCATGAAAACTGGAATTAAGGATCGATGGTTAGAATTACTTCATAAGGGTGAGAGGATGCGAGAATATTACCTAGTGGTTGAACACCTTTCACGCATCTTGGAAGAACGGGCAAATCGTATTCTATGACACTTATCACGAACACCCTGGGGGCTCTGATCTTGCCAAATGGCCTGTGGCTCGTCTTCTCTGCTCGCCTCTATGTGGCTGTCTGCTTTGCCAGCCAGATTTCGATCCTCCTTGTGACGTGCTTTGTGGCTTGTCATCCGGAAACAATGTCATAAGTAGACAACCTTCTAGAGGTTACTTTACGAAATACATGAGCCAGAGCTCAAATTTGATCAATTTCATTGTTTCTTTTCTTTTGTAGCAGGTTAAGATTAAATTCTTTACGTAGAAATGCAAATTCTTAGCTGTGGCGCTACCGTGTGTGGCATTGGGGGCAAACGAACAAATTGGTAGCTATTAAGATGGATTGGACAAATGTGTATGCATGCATGGCCTAGCGAATTTAATTACGCTATTGGTGAGCCAGAAAGGTGAATTAACGATAGCGCAAGATGGGTATCGCATTTTAGACTTTGCTAAGTTTGCAATTACTAGGTTATCATGCAGAATTCGAGTAAATATCGAGGTGTTCTATCTCTATTTTTTGTTGGCTGATAAGCTTGCGCGTATCTCCTGCGCAATATGAACCCCCTTTTCACGAAGGTGTTCATATTACTAGCCATGAGACCTTGGTTGCTATTTCTCAATCCACACTCTACCTTGTCTTTGTTTGTAAACGTCCTTCACAGATTGCTTATTTTCAATATGATCAATTTTCCAATTGCGTTCGTTGTTGTTGGTTGGGTTTGTTTACTCTCTGTCATCTGACCAGTATTTTCCAAAGGTCAGATCAACAATTCGGTGATTTAGTCACAGCTGTTTAATTTCAATAGTCCACAATAATGCGGAAAAAAATATGCCTGTCAATTGGGGACTTAAATGTCAAAGGTGATGCTCCATTCAATTTTTCAATGATTATTGTTTAATAGTTTGCTTAATGAGACGTATACTGTTTCACATTCTGAAATTCGAATCTTTCCCACCATCTCGAGTTCTTCCTAACTCTTTGTTCATTTATGATGGGCTGTCTTGCGTTTCAAAGGTGGAAATCATTAGTGCTATCTTATATTAATCTTGGCGTATAGATAATATTAACATAGGAGAGCTCTTTAAATTGACCTTGAATGCTCTATCATGGAATCAACTTGGAATTGGTTGACAGCATGTCTTAAATTTGGACCCCTCTGTAAATTATCTTAATTAATGATTCAGTAAGAACACTGTTAGTCCTGTATGATGGAATACCAGAAATCTATTCGGATTCAGGAAAATTGAGGACTAACAGTCTAAAATTGAAAAGCAGAACTCTACTTATATACATTTGAGTATTGGATAAGTGATTGGCTGCCTGATTAACCAATTATTTGAAGTGATGTCTTCCCCACAGGGGTTGATGCATATCCAGGTGAGAGTTTAGAAAATCGATCGAATCGATAATCTACCGCATGACAAATGAACTTGATGGAATGGACAATAAAAAATCGATTTGGCTTCTCGAACACTGCAATTTTGATTTGCTTCCATTACTCCTTTTAGGAAGTGAATTCCACACACAGCTATTGCGTCACAATCTTTATTCAATGTATTCGATTATAAAAAGCCTCATCATTGTCATCAGACACCCCTACACTTCAGACCGTAGGTTCAGCTCGCATTTTTAATATATTTTCAGTAAATGTAGAGAATACTTATAACTAAACGCTGTTTTTTACACTTCACAAATAAATGGACGTATGTAGGCTTAGATATGTGATAAATGATTGGCTGCCTGATTAACCAATTATTTACAGCGACGGCTTCTCCACAGGTGTATGTGTGTGTGTTTGTGTGTGGAAATCCAATCGAATCGATGTTTCAGTGGATAGGATATGGAGATTGCGAACGGTTCTTGATTGCATTGCAGTCATTTGGCTAGGTGTCCTAACAGTAATTGTATGGTTACAGTAGCAATATACGAATTTTTCCTTTGAATTTCGGTATTCTGTCCCATTCTGTTCACTATGTACATCAAGCACTCTTCTACGGGTATTCGTAATTACCTTAATGCATTATATTCAAATTTCATGATGCCATAAAATGAACAAAAAGACATCATTTCCTTCTTTCTGGCCATTTAAGTCCCTGTATGCAACAGTAATGTGGCATGTCGAATGCCAATGGGAAATCGCAGATTTTAAAACAATATTAAGGTGTTATTTACTCTTTAAACAATGTATATGGCCGTGTCGCAAAATTTCCGCTTTCATTTGCAACTCTTTCCTATTGGTCTTCTTATTCTTCAACCTCCTTTTTTTGGAAAAGCCTGCTCGTTCCTCTATCGCATTTCAAAGTCGTTTTTCTCTTAGAGTACACTATATCGATCTGGAAAGGTGCTAATGGTGGAATGAGAGGTTCAGTGAGTATGGGTGATGTGGTAGAACCTCCCAATTGTCATGTCAAATAATTTTCCCTTTTCTGTCAAGTTAACCTGGACGCGCTAACCTTTTACTTTCTTATTTAACCTTGGTAATTAACTCTTAGCACCTCGTAATGGGTAATTCCACCTTCTCACCAAGCACAAAGAAGAAGTTTCTTATAAGTCCGTTCCGTCTTGGCTTGGGAGATGGAATGGCTTGAGAAGGCTGACATTCTACTGTGATGAATTAATTTTTTGTTAATAGAGTGGATTTAAATGATTCAAGAGCGCAGTTAATGGATAGTTTAAATCAGCGTCTGGACACCTGAATCTGGAGTTCTGATGTTAAGTATTGATTTATGCTCCGATGTACTTGGTTAATTTGATTTTAGGTTGGAGTCATCAAGCTTATTTCAGGAGATATTGCGGTCTTGTAGTTATCCACCACAACACTCGTCGATTGACGCCTTCTACTGACTTCAGTTTTGGGCTGCTAACTGCCGAAGTCGTCGTGGGTGGTGAAGAGTCTACTCCACAAAATGTTGTCAACTTGTTGCACATATTTTTTTTTGTTAGACATTAGAAAAGAGGCTGGATATTCTTGCCTCGTTGAGTTATGTTGGATGTTCTGTTGATCAGAATGAGAATGGTTGGCCTGTGTACTCGGTGTTTTCATTCAAGACTAGTAAGAAGAAGTCACGTGATTTACTGTATTGCCAAACTGGTTGTTTTGGAATTGACCTTCTCATAGCATGACACTACGTAGACCAACCCACATTTTTATCAACGCACTAAAAATATGTCGGAAGGAGCATAGTCCGTCGCTTCATGAGCAAGTTACTTAAGTTTTCTTCTGAGATGTCGCCTACATTATTGGTTAGTGAAATAGAAATCTGGGTAAGCCTTTTTTATGCGTGTAACGGCATTGTCATGACTCAGCATGAAATATGGTTAGTAAATGGTTAGAATTCGCTCTTATAATCCAAGATGGCACAAAACTGCGCTACATTCGCTCGATGTCATTAACCTTAAAAATGGCGCATCTCTTCTACGTTGAGGTTACTCGTAACACGCGCAAAATGCAAAACTTTGCATTAAGCCAACACATTTCCAGGGCAAAGCTCACAAGATCTATTGTTTGCTGGCAATTGACAATTGCGTTGTTAGTGCCCTTTTTTTTAAATAAACAGATTATTTTAAATTTTGCTTTTATTCTAATCTAAAAGGTCTATACAAGAGCTCTGATTGAATGTTGCAATGCCGAACTTCTACTGGCACATTAGATGTTGCCCAGTAAGGTAGTACTCTGACTTCAGTGAACTCAGATTTGGCAGAGCACGCGAGAAAAGGAACAAT